CCATGTGTTAAATAAAATTTAATAGATGAAATAAAACCAATTAATAAATTAAATTTTATTTATAAAAATGAATTTTTTAAAGATTAAGAATTATTTAAAATATAATAATTTCAATCATTTGGTAGTGAGATGGGAGTGATTCTAATTTCAAATTTTAACAACATGATACACGTTGGTGATGAAGAGTGAGATTCAAATTCAAATGGGTTTTAGTAACAGGCTCTAAGATGCTGATAGGGGGTAAACTTTTAGCAACAAGGGTTATGTTGCTGAAAGTTCTTTATATACCCCACTGTCTCTATGAATTCTACAATTCTCCTCCCGCATGGCTTCCTTCCTCGCGTGGCATGCTACAACTTCCTCTGCTCCGTGTGCCTCTCAGCCTCTCTTCTTCTTTTTCTTTTTTTTTTTTCTTTTTTTTTCTGTTACCACATGTATTCTGCAATTCTCTTCTCGCAAGCCTAGCTTCCTTCTCCTTGTGTGGCCTGCTACAACGTCCTCAAATCCGTGCGCCTCTCAACTAGCCTCTTTTTTCTTCTTCTTCTTCTTCTTCTTCTTCTTCTTCTTTTCTGATAGCAAATGTATTCTACAATTCTCAACATGGATGCCTTCCTTCTCCTTGCGTGGCCTGCTGCAAATGGGCAAAGATTCATGCGCCTCTCAGCTTCTTTTTTTTTTTCTCTGTTAACACATGCAATCCATATGTATATATATCAATAATTGAATACATTTAAGCATATTTAAATTATATTTTTGTAAATATTACATTATTAAGTTGATATCAATTTATTTGAAAGTTAATATATTTATAAATAATTATATATAGTAATTAATAATTATGTTATTTTATTTGATTTGTATGTAATTCTTAATAAAATAAAATTTAAATTTGCTAAAATACATAACCATACAGTAATCAACTTATGTTATTTAATTTAAATTAATTAAGTTAAACTTAAAAAAATATTTAATATTTAGTTATGATGTTTTTAATTATACATATAAATAATTATATTGTGTATGAGAAATTAAGATATTTAATATTTGGTGATTATAAAAACTCAATTTTATATTTAAAATTTGTAATATTATTAAATTTAATATTTGATAGTATAAACTTAATGTAATATATTTATTTTCATAAAAATTAAAATAAAAAATATGTGTTTAGAATTTTGATAAGTATAATTTTTTTTATCAGGTATTTTGATGTATTACAGACAAAGAGTTTGTTGCTAAAAATGTGGTTGATACCATTTAGAATAAACATTAGCAACAATGGGTAGGTTGCTGAGAATGTGGGTGAAAGCATGCAAATAAATTCAGCAACATAGTTTTTCTTGGTAAAAGTTGAAAATTAGCAACAAAGCATACGTTGTTGAAGACTAGGGGATATATTATTCTTGAACTTTCAGCAATGTGATTCTTGTTGTTGAAAATAAGCAATCAGCAACAAGGCATACGTTGTTGAAAAATGAAAAACCACCCTTTCCCTTAAACTTTTAGCAACATGAGCCACGTTATTGAAATTCAGCAACGTGGCTCTTATTGTTGAAAATGGGGTCAAATCT